GTATTTTCATTATTCAATTAAATCTATCATCCTCACCTCACAACTCAAGTAACCCCTTATTGTGAATATCTTCAGTTGATGTTGTTTACTTTCTTCCTTTGTTTTGAAGACGGAATATGCAAGTCACTGAGGAGACGAAGGTGTTTGGCGAGGGTGAATTAGGGAAAGCACCAGAGGGGTATGGTACAGTATGATTATCCAAGCGATATATGATGATGATGGCTGTAAGGAACACACCGCTGCCTTCCTCTTGTCTATAGATCATTACAGATAATAGGAATGCAGCGTAATCCAGGGGACAAAAAAACTGGATTCTAGTTCCCTAGAGGGCAAAAATCTTAATAAGCTCATTTGACGTCACATGAACCGGGTGTATTAGAAACTCCACCCTACTACTCTATTTAATTATTTTCGTTTAAAGTGTATATATCGGTTCAGCATGTCATGAATTATGTTTGGTGGGTTAAACTCGAAAAAAAAATTTTTAGTGTCATTTTTTAAGGCCTAAAAGTGCTAAAAATGCCTGTTTTGGGCCTCCTGTGCCAAAATTTTGGAGCAATGCAGAAGTCTGGTAACTAACATTTCATGACGTCATTCACGGAACTCGTCACCCAGAATAATATTGTTTCCAGTCACTTTTCCAGTCAAAAAACTACCAAAATTCTATTTAATTCCGTACTTAAGAATACGATTCCTCTTCCAAAATGCCCGATGTAGTCAAAAGTTGTGGTAACATAAACAGTCGTGAAAACGCTATATTTCCTAGCACAAAATTCAGTATTAAGGCGACCAGCGACAAGAGGCAATTCGACGCCGAAAGAGACGAGACATACACATWAGCGCTAGTTAGCGAACTTTGTAAAAACATTTGTGAGTAATTAGAGGAAAACACGGGAAACTCTTCTTTACATAAAAGCTTGAATGAAGCCTTTTATAATAATACAGTTTGTCCGTCCACATTCATACCCTTTGCCTTATAATGCAGGGTATGATCGCGTAGCTACTCAATTTTTGGCGAAGTTTGCTCGTCCGAATAACCCTTTTATACAGAGAAAGTTCGATTAACTGCTTTTCTAAACATTCGCAAAGTTTGACTGTCCGCATATGAAACTTTTTTATACTTAAATAATAATTGTCACGCTAAACAAGAAAATCAACCTCTTTTAACTTGATTTTTATGCACGAATTTGTCATCAAGTCACAGATAGACACCGAGTAGAGCGTTTTCGACGGAAAATTTCTAACTGCCACGGCAAAGGTGTTTTGTATACTATGCCCAGCAAAGACCATCGAGCTTTATACAAAGTAAGACTGCTTAAAAGGAGCGCTTAGTATTTCTAAACAAACTTTCCCATGTGTGGTTTCAACACAAACAGTCATTTGACCGTGATTTGAAGAAATTTCTGAAATTTTGGACTGCCGTGCACCGAGTTATTTTAAACACCGTGACCGGCTGCTGGGCATCTTACACACTGTGTTTAAAATACTCAGAGAAAGTTCGTGTAACTACATTTCTCGACAAAATTGGCGAAGTTTGCCCGTCCGCATATAAAACCTTTTTATATTAATACTCATCCAGCCACGCTTCATCTGTAATCGGTTCGTCGCTGTACTTTAAAGCGTTCATGTCGCGATATGCTTCAGGATGCTTCAAAATCGTCTTCGATAAAGTGGTCATTTTGCGCATTGATCGGGTTTCAGATTTAACTTCATAATTACTCAGAAATGTAACAAGAGTCTCTACATTCACTGCTGCAATCAGAAATGTCTTTTTTCAAGAAAAATCAGTCGTTTTAAAGATCAGTTCTGTGAAGTTTAGTAGTGTTGTTTACCGTAAGCTTGTTCCGTGAATGACGTCACTGGACGGACTAGTACCAGGCCTCCATAACGCTCGACTTTTATCAGCTCATTCCGCAGTTTGAGAGCTTAAAAATATACGAAATTTATATAATATCGTAAAATTTTCTTTAATTATGTGATTTTTAATGTCCAAACTTTCATTTGAAAGAAAAATTGCTGAACCGATATATGCACTTTAATATGCGGCAAATATAATATCAACAGTCCGAGACTACATCTCCAAGGAATTTCTTAAGATTTGGCCAGATTGTGTCTTACTATATAAATGGATCCTAAAATTCATTGCAATAAAACGGATCAAATTTCTAAAAAAACGTGCTTATATTAATTAGCATATAAAATGCAGTCCGAATATATCATAAGTATAGGTAAATGATTGCTGCAGAAGTTGGTAAACTGAGTTTAAAATGAATTGATTCAAAGAAGCCAAAGTTATGCGTCGAACATCAAATAACCGATTTGGCATTTTCCAAATGATGATCTATCTTAAGAGCGCTATTAAAAATGACATCATTTGATGAACAGTTAAGAAATACCATTTTAATCATTGGCATTATTTGTCGCTTGTAGAAGTGGTTTATCGACGTACAAAGAGCTGTGTTCATTGGCAAGTGATCTCAATCAACCTGACCTTATTTACAAGTTTATGCATCTCGCCAATCATAATGCTCTTTGGAATTCAAGGAAGGCAAGTACTGGCGCAACGTATTTGACCTCATCTAGCGAGAGTAAAGATGCTTTACTTTGAATTATTAAGAAGTGGTAAAGCAGTTAAAAGAAAGATCATAATATTCAGAGATTTTATTAAATTGTTCATTTGTCCCCAGGGYGCTGCATTTGGTTTTAGTAGTATAGCTGCTCATTCACGAGAACAGCTGGAACCTCACCTACCAAAGATTATTCCTAAATTGTACAGGTAGGTTAATCTATTGAGCTTTTGACCTCTCTTTTTTTATGATTTAAAAATCGGAGTTTCTAAACGTCAGGYAGCCTGACGGAGTGATCAAAAAACCTAAATGTTGTTGACAAGGTTGCCCACACTGATTTTTGAATGCCTGACGAAGTGTTACGAAAATCTAAACGTCAAGCAATCGATTTTTCATTCTTTTTCTTGAAAACTTAATAGAACAAACATACGTTAACAAGAACAGAACAAGAGAAATAAAAACAATGATCCCAAAATGCAACTTTTCGACAAAGTTGTGTATTATAAAGAACTACGGCACTTTCCTTTTACTTGAAATAATGGTTGTTCTATCGATTTTTCAAAAAATAATCGATTGCTTGACGTTTATTTTTTTTTTATCACTCCGTCAGGTTGAATAATAATAATGACGAATATACATTTAGGTCTTTGTTATTTGTTTTTTTTTTCAGACCTATACAATTTACGAACTAGTTTTGTCATTTGTCAACGTGTTGTGTGCATAACGCTATGTTGCAGCAACATATCCTAAGTGTTCAAATACTTCCAAGTCCGCACTTTTTCTATTCAAGTCTGCACAAAAACTTGCATTTTACCATAGACAACGCAAAAACAAATGTAGGGACAAAAAAAAAAACGTGCGGAGACTGCATCACCTATCATTCTTTCTAATTGTGCAAAAAGGCCTCTCTGTGAGTTGCTTATTGCCCCATGTAGAGGCACTCTAAAAACAAAAAGCAATTTGTAAGCTCATTCAAATTGTAAAGACGTCCGACAACCTACATGATACACCTAATCCAAGTGGTGTACACTACGGCT